TGATATCGGCAAGGCCAACTCCAAGTTTTAATGAAACATACTTAAATTTAATTAGCTTTCTTGCGGTAACTTCTAAAAGCTGTGTTACTGAAAGTGTTGTTAAACTCTTTTGGGTAACCTGAAACCTTCCTTTTAACAGTTTGACCAGTTCTTCTCTGTCTGGAATTTTTTCAGTTACTGCTTTAATTATCACCATTGCTGACTTTTTGGACATCTTGTTATCTTTGATATCTGGTTCAGCTGATTCTCCAGAGGCTTCTTCTTCCTCATTTACTATCATTGTATCTGTGGACCCCTCTGAATGGTTATCATCATCATCCTAAAGACACACAGTAGAGCCTTAAATTTACAGCGATTTGACAAATACAAGGTTTATAGGTTTTAAAGTGAATTTTACTTAAGTGTTTTTTGCATGGTGACTACAACCTGACTGATAATGGGAAAAATGATCCTTGATTGTAACTGAGGCTGTGCAGTACAAGATTATCACCTTTGTTATGCAAAAATTCAATAAAATCTTAACTTGACAGGTTGTCAAAATTTATTGGGAAGATGGCCAGGAAGGATTTAAAACAACAACCATTTGAGGTGCATTAAGTTGCCTTTTCATGAAAATCCTAAACATATGAAAAGTGTTTAAGCTTGAAGCTGAAGACCCAACACAGCCCCACACCATGATTATATGTACCTTTTCATCATGACAAATATTTTCCTTTATAAAAGGCTTAAACAGGTTTCTATTGCAATACCTCAGGTGGAGAAAATCTTTTTTTCTTGGCATTCTTTTCATCCTCTTCTTTGGGCTGTTTAAAAGAATTAAGCATGCAGTGCATTACTTCATTTTGCTATAATTTGTTAGAAAGCACCACCCTCAAATAAATTATATATCTTGCACATTAAAAAAATAAAACAGTGCACCTGATTGACTGAAAAAGTTATTATTGCCTAGACTCAACACCTGCTTTTGCTCTCTTCATGGTATTAAATTTTAATTAAAGAGGATGTTAACATATTAAACAAGCAGCATCTTGCCATTGACTTACCATAGATGGCAACTTGGGAGGAGGTGTCAATTCTACTTCACTGTTGGAGCTGGATTCTGAACAAGATGGTAGTACTACAACATAGGAAGATGGTATTCTGTCAATAACATACCAAAGCACTGATGGCACCTTTTTCATAACATAGAAGCAGGTTTGCAATATTATAGATGTGGGTTGCCAATTAAGAGACAAGGAAACCTATTCAGCAATAATTAATTATTATAATGACACAATTCAACTTCAAGATGAAAAACAGTCAGCCATTGGACAATAATAATTATTGCCCAATGGCTGACTGTTTTAGTAATAATTATTATTAGTATTATTGCCCTTTCAAATCTCGCAATATATCATAGAATGCCAACTAACATATATTAACATAAATCCGAATACCTTTTTGCTTTTATGGAATCTTCGTTGTTCACTGAAGAAGCTTTTGATATGCTGAGCAATACCATCTGTGAAAAAGCCAGCCTCTGGCAGTGAACATTCATCAGAGATCTTCTTAGCAAACTGTTCAAGCTCAGCTTTTTTTTCTGGTGTATTGAATTTTGGCAACTTGTGTTTCCAGTGCTCACTTGCAAGTACTCCCACTTGTTTGCGTCTGTAAAATATTGTTAATGCAAAATGTGAAGGAGTTGAAGATGTAAGACATTTGACCATTAGTGTAAGCTAAAATACATGATTTTAATTCAGTTCATATTTGAATTTCATTTGCTTCTGACTTCTTATAAATATGAATCAAAAGAAATTCAAGTACAAATTAGGTCGAAATTGCTTAACGTCAGTGAACTTTTATCAACCTACAACATACTCAAACACAAAACTCGCAGGAACAGAAGAAATCAGCATTAATAGTTTGGTGACAAATTATATGATATTACAAGCTAGCACACTTGACACTGAAAACTTAGCAAAAAAGGCCGGCCATAGTACTATTCCAAATGATGGATCAAAGAATTATCTGTTAGAGTATATTATAGTACTGAATATCAACCCAAACTAAACCCATTGAACGCTGGCCCTAACACAGGGAAGAAACTGTAATATCAAAACCTGCTGAATGGTTAAGCACAGTTCCTGGTTCACAAGCCAGTCAATGTTGCTTCGTTAATGAACTGATTGTTTCATCGTGCGTTAATTTTGTGTTGACCTTGAATTAAACAGGCAAACCTAAAACAGCTTTCCGGGCCCGAAAGGTTAATATAACCAGAACGCCCATAGTCAACAATGAGTTAGTAGAAAATCGCCTTACTTTGCTAAATATAGTCGCTTCATTTCTGGTGAAAAGCCAGCAATAGCCGCCATTGTTGGTTTAACCTGTGGAGACGATGGTCTTGACTGCAATGAATTTACGTGTCTCCCAAATTCTTTTCTAAATTTCACCGCTTTTCCATACGTTAAACCCAATCTCGAAAATATTGGCGCGTCCGGTTCTCTCTGAGTCAAGTCTTCAATCGAGGCGTCATCAATTATCTCCTCCTCTAAGAAACAAGAGTTTAATGTTTAATTTCAGATACATATTCAGTGTTGAATTATTGACACTCTTTGGAATAAAGCAATCTACAGCAGTTCCAGTTAGATGAATTGCAGTAAACACAAAAAACATTCTATTTACATCAGGTAAAGTGTCAAGCTTCGTTCAAACCACAGCCTCACATCTTTGAACTGTGCACGCTGCCGGTGAGAAAAACTGACTTACTTTCAAAAGCGGTCTTTATTTCTTCCCCAAATTTGGCTTGAATCTTTTCTAATAAAGACTCCTCCGTGTTGGATACGTTGCTTACTTCTGAAGCGCTAACAATCTCAGATTCTTCTGCTGCCATCTTGCAAGCCTCACCGAAGAAAAAAACAGCGAGAAAGGCTGAGAGAAAAACGTGCCACAAGGTTATACCTACATGTATAATAGTACTGCATTTATTATTGGCTAATTTTCGCGCCATTTTCACTACGTCACTTACGTGTTTTCTATACTTGGACCTTATTGGATAAGGTGTTTAAAGGCCGCTGGGCGAATGAATTGCTGGCATACTCTTCAACAAATGGTTGCTCAGTGAGTTGAGCCCACTGTTATTAGGACAGCTCCCTTCTTTAACAAAAAAGGAATATGGCGGCAAACTTACGTCCTCCACTGGAAAGTGGCAGTAAAAGTAATCCGATTTGGACTAGAAGTAGCATCACATCGTGCTGTTGCAGTGATAAGTCATATCGGCATGTTCATTGCCCTTGTTCAAGCTGCAATGGACGAGCAGTGGATAGAGGTACCGAACTTAGGCACTGGAAAGAAAGTCAAATTGTTTCAAAAACTTGTTTTGCATTGGATGAGTTTCGTGAACCTTTACCACGATGTAGTTTCAATCCCACTGAAAGTTGTCCATCGGATGGGGAAGAACAGATAGATGAAGATATTGAAGTTATGCAATACCACAGCAATAATGAAAGGGATGAAGATGAAGACGGAAGCTGTGCATGCTTGCCGAGAGCCGCAAGAACAGAGAAAAACGCCACTGGTAAAACTGAAGAAAAAGATCCCAACCCATTGAGGAAATTAGTCGTTAATGCCGTTCTAGATGCTCTCAGGATTGTGAAGGGAAGTGGATCTTCTTGCCAAACGTTTGAGGACATCTTGAATTATGGTAAAACTCTTTTGCTAGCCAGCCATAACAGTGACAATATAGATCGCGAAATTGTGCTAACCCTGTGGCCAAGAAACTGGAACTCAGTGCAGAAGCTGTTGAAAGAGGAAGGATATGAAGATGCCAAATTATTTTATGTTTGCTTTTGCTGGAATGAGAAAGAACAAACAAGAAATGGGAAAACTAGTAAAAAAATTGTTTATACTGGAAATTATAGCATTTTGGAGAATAAGGATGACTTGTGCATTCATTGTGGCAAAAAAGGTTATCTAAAATACTATTACTTAGGCATGAGCACAAAAGTGAAGAATTGGTTTAAAAGTGTAGATATGTGCAGAAAAATGTTGTCCCATTGGAATGCACGTGATAGTTGGCTTGGTCGCCAAAGCAGCAATCCAGAAAAATGTGAATTCTGGGATGGTGAGCGATGGGTTGAACTGCAATGGTTCTGGGACCCTAAGAGCACCTGGACTTTGCCAACACTGTGTCCTCATTGTAGCCTACCAGTTTCATCAGATAAGTTGCTCAATTCTCCAAATGGCAAAGATGGGAGTAAAGATGTGGAATGTCCAAACTGCTTTGAAAATTTTGAACACTTTATTAAAGTCACCAATGGATCTCCTTTGAATTTGGCACTGGTAGGCCACTGGGATGGGTGGCAGCCCTTTGGAACTAGTTATAGAGGCTGTGGATCACTTGAAGTTAGCATTGCTAACATGACTAAGAATGACAGGAGCAATGTAGAAGAAGTATACGTTGTTGGTTTTGTTCCTTGCTCCCAGGTTCCTAACCTGCCTGAAGCTCTTGACCCATTTCTACAGCCTCTACTGCAGGACATATCCACAGGTTTCATTGATGGTTTCAAGGTTTTCAGTTATCCAAGGGCGATAGAGATAGAGGGCTATCAAACTAGCGAAGTGGAGACAGTGCGTGTTTTACTTCTGTGTTGGACAGGGGATCATCCTGGACAATGTGAGTGTGGCAAATTCTTGAATCAAGGAAAGTCTGGATGTAGGAGATGTAAAGTGGTTGGTAGACTACTGGAAAACAGTACAAACACACATGTGTATTATGGAGAAAACCGCTACCACTTTAGATATCCTTGGGAAGAGAGATCTATTGAATCTTCTGTTGATGACATGTTTGACATAGACCATGAAACAAGAGTAAGTGTACGCAAAACGATGTCATCTACTAAAGGTTTTACTGGCACAAGTATCCTTCATAAATACCTTTACCCTTTGTATGGCTTTGACATCCTAAAGCACCTGGTATTTGATGTTTTTCACACTATCTGCCTCAATGTTGTGAAAAATCAGTTAGAGAGAATTCTGGACATGAAGCTCATTGATCCATCATATTTAGATGATCAAGTTGAGAAATTTCCTTGGACACAAGATCTTAAAACTGGGAGAAGTCCACGATCACTTGCACATTGTAAAGGAACACATGTAGGTCAGTGGAAAGCTGAAGGGCTGCAGAAGTTTTCCTTTCCTATGGCTGACTGTATATTTATGGGCAAACTGGATGACAGGCATGAATTAGAAATCCAATCGCTTGTTTCAAGACTTACAGAACTCCACTTTTATAGTGGCAGAAGGTTATGGAATGCTGACATGATTGAAATGCACAGACAGTTAGCATGGCGGCTCAACATTCAGATTGAAGAAATTCAGGGACTACACATGTGTACAATATCAGTTCATAATTTGACTCACATACATGAAGACATCATTAACTTTTCTTCCCCAGACAATTTCTGGTGTGCCGTTTATGAGAGAGCTGTAAAGCAATATGTCAAGAAGTCGCATAACTGCAAAGGGATTGAAGCAACATTTGCTCAGTCAGAATCCAGGCGGGAATTCTTGAAGCCACTTCAAGCTGCTGATCACAGAGAGGCCGGAAAAGTTGACTTGATGACGGTAATTCATGCTTTTTTAAATGTCAACAAAAAGGGGCTGTGCCCTGCCATTTAAACATTAATTTAATGTTTATGTTACACACACAAAGATGCAGGTAATATAGCTAGTCACTGTCAAAAGACCTTTCTTCAAAATTTTCCCACCCATAGAAATAAACAGGTCCGTAGAGGTCTCCAGAGGGAAAAGTGCTGAATTCACACTGTTTTAGTGTTTTAAACTTTATGTGCATGTGTTGGCCATTAAGGCAAATTTCCACCATATTTTTAGCTTGAAATCCCTACCTTGTTTTGCTGATTTCGTAGCACTGAAGTAGTCCCCTTAAGTCATTACTTACCCAACTTAAATGCTGCTGAGCCATTCATGGTATTCCAAATTTGATTAACCTTTAACTCCCAGAAGTGATCACAATGTAACTTTTCCTTAATAATTAAGGAAAATTATTATAATAATTATTATATTATAAATACCTTCTTCTGCAAACAGGTGACGAAAGTCAATAAACTTGTCAGCCAAAGATGCCCCCCAATTTTTTTCATCTATATGTAAAGCAAAATGTGTAACAGCTAGAAAAGAGAATTAGTAACCAGATCTTGACTTAAATGCTAATGTATGCTGAAGAAGTATAAATTGAACAACCATTTCTGTAAAGTTAAAGCATTGGCAGAAGAGATTTGAAATTTTGTTATAAACTAAATACATTTGACATAGCAAAATGCATTTGTAATTTAATCTTGCTCTTGTTTATTTCATAACTGTGTATGTGCTAATTATTATGTTTTCAGGGATTTGCCAGTTCAACTGAAATTGCTCAAATAGAGTCACAGAAGGAACCTCAAAATCGAAGATCATTTCTATTGGGTGCAATGTCAAAGGTCAAATCACTGCCACAGAATGAGAGAGTGAAAATAGCAGACACATTGGATGTTTCTGTTAGTGAGGTGCCTGTAACTGGCTTTGTTTCAAGTAAAGCCTTCCTGTTGGATGTGGGATACCAGGGATCAGTTCTCAACACTGGAGAGGCTGTTGTTGCAGACATCAATGGTCATGAGACAGTGTTATTGATATGCAACTTTTTGTCTGTTAGATGTGAAGAAACAGGATATGCAACATTGGTAATTGGGCAGAGGTACCACCCTCTTACTGCAGAGGATGGAAGTCAAGCAAGTGATTTCTGGAGTGGATTTATTAAAGTTAAAGCCAAACCAAGTTCAGAGCAATTTTTTCTTCCACTTGACTGTATCAAGAGAAAGGTCATACTCTACAGTTGTGATGATGGTGTAATTTCTGTTGCTGACTACCAGAGACAAGCAAGACAGCTGCCTTACACTATCATTGTTCCAGTTTACATGGAGTGTGGAGATATGTTGTTGATTCAGGGAGAACTGTTGTACGATGTTTGGTTTGGCCATGCCCAAAGTGTTGATCAGTGTGAAAGGACAGTTGATGTGTTTTTCTTTGTTGAAAGTAGCAGGCACAAGAATCTCTATGTAAGGGAGACACAAGGGAGGCATGGTAGAAACACTGTTTCTTGGCACTCTGTCATTGGAATTGCAAGTGGAAAGTGGATTTCTCACTCACAGTGGAGAAAGGATGACTGAGTACAGTGATATCTGCACTTGATACAATGAAGTTACTAAACAGTGAAATGCAGTTAATTTAAGCAAACTATGCAGATGCATGGCCAAGTCAGCTCAGGTGCATAGACTCATCTGACCCGACATGCGTCTGCATAAGATCAGATATGTGTCAGGTTAAGAAAGATTGTTTTTTTGTTATTTAATGTCATGAGATTGCTTTGTTTAAAAATCTTAGGCAAAAAAATTCCAGGTTTGGAGTCAAGAAGTGGCAATAGATTAAGTTCTAAGCAGTTTTGTATGTGGGAGGGATACAAATGAAACCTGGTCACTCCAAATGGCAAAAAATCTCAAGTTGGTTTTGGACAAAGGCAAAGTTGTTGAAAAGCAAAGCCTCTATTTTGTATTTAAATAATAAATAAGTGGGGATCTAAGTCCCTTCTCTGCAGTATCAGGAGCATGTATGTGGAATGTGATACTGAAACACTCCCTAAAAAAAAGGATATATGGATATCCTTACCAAAAATGTCATTATAATTGCACCATGCAGAGTTTTCAATCATAATTTTTCTCGTGGCATTCACACATGCCCCTGATACGCATTTGCATATGATAACAATGGGTAAGGTACATGTAAACACCAAGTGTCAAGTGTCAACTTTTAGTCTACGGGCCAGAATTTTATTTATTTATT